CTGCAGACAGCATCTGTTTAGCTGTATTAAGGAGTACTGGTTATGATATACTGTTTTCTTCTGTGTTTCACTTGTTTCTGATGATTAAAAAATCAAAGAGCACAAAAGATGCAAACCAATACAAAAATAAGGTTTATTAAAACCTCTCTGAATTGTTTGTAAATCAGAAACATGGTAACTAAATAGTGTAAAACCCGAAGAAGATAAGCGCCCGCTTGTTTAGGGATCCAGCTTTATTTACTCTTTGGGAAATTGCCTAAAAATCTGTCCTAAAAAGTTGTCCTTGGTTCTTGACCTCTTTCATGGCTTCCTGTATACTACCTAATGTATAGGCCTACTTTTTTCAGAGGGTTGCGATGGTGCATTTGCAGAAATACACATTTTATACCCTGAATGGGTAATTGCATCCCCCACAGACACACTAATATGTGAACAGAGTCCATTTTTTTCAGTCTAAAATTCAAATGTGTCTTTTCTGTTTGCTACATGTTGCATCTGCCTTTGAAAATTTGGACCAGAAAGGTGGGTTTTTAGAGAGGGTGGGTGGCAAGATACAGTGTGCCTTTCATAATGGAGGTGTCATAACAAACTAGCTAGATATAAATGTGACTTAAGATACATGTATCATTTCTAGATCATTGTTGTTATATCATAACAATATAATGCTATGTTTCTATTGTCAGCCTTTGTAGAGCCAATTAGGAGGTTCCTTAGTATCTTATGCATTGGTCTTAATATCTTCTGCCTGTACCTGAGATATAGGGTAGCAGAGGTCAAGTTCTAAGCTCTTTGTGGAAGGGAAGGGCTGAAATTTCTGGACTAGCAGGCCTTGCTGGCTAATCCAGAAAATGGCATTGATAGTAGCTGCAGAGAGAGAGAGTTGATATCTGAAAGTCAGTATATTGGTGTGCAGAGACTAGTAGCCAGACTGTGTGACATGATGCAAGTATAGGCAGTGGCTGGAGGGATATTGCTTGTCCAGAGGGCAGAATAACTCTTTGCTGTGTCTTACATGAGAGGTGTACTTTTAAAAAAGTATTTAGAGGGCCTTCTCTGGAATTGCAGCTGACCATATCTTTTCTTTCCCATGGCCTGGAAAAAAGATGGTTTGGTTTTGATATGAAAAAGGAAGAACCAAACCATACCAATAAAATTATTAAAGCACAATGAAAGAAAATCAGTTTATCCAAAGTGAAGATTGAATTCCAATACCCTGTATTCAGCTGTGTAAATCCAGTCCTTTGTTTCAGTGTCATATCCATCGTGTCTATTTTTGCCTCAGTCTGGCTGGAAGGGAGATGCCATGAACGTGATGCTGGAATTAGAGTGGACATGCATGTTTATGTCAAATGTGCTTCTCTGCATGCCCATAATTGCCACCAAAACTTTAATTTTGATTGTCAGTCACCTTCTATCACTTGTTCAGTCTGATTGTGAGATGTACATCTCTATTCTAGGTTTCTAATAGCAATAGATAGAAGAGGTGGACCTACTGTTGCCAAGCAGACTGTTAAACTTGCTGAAGAGTTCCTCCTTTCCACCGATGGGATTGTGGTAGGGCTTGACCTCAGTGGTGATCCCACCGTAAGTTACTTCCCTTGAAGATGGATACTTTTATTATTGTAATGATTATAGTATCACATTTTATTTTTACTTTATTTTGGGTAATTTTCCTTTGGGGCATTAACTGTTCCCGGCAAGGGTTAAGAATTATTGTGTTCCCCGCGCCCATAAAGCGTTATATTAAATGAGTGTAGATGCATTTTGGAGTGACTTTGCCCTCATCTGAAGATATTGGCCAACACTGAAAGCGTGGTATGTTGTTGTTACTATTTAATTTGTTCTAAACAAATATAGTATAAAGTATTATAATATAGTATAAAGTATTTTTCGAGCATAAAAAAGGCACACAATCTAAAGACAGAAGAGCAGACAGCAGTGGTCAATGTAGTACAGTACTTAGGATTTGCCGAGCAAAATCCATTGTCCCATCTTCCATTTTTAGGCCAGGTCTACTCTAGTGGAGAAAGTCGAATTAAGATACAAAATTGCAGATATGTGAATAACACAGCTGAAGTCAATATACTTTAGGTCAAATTTCTGTGGCATCTGCCGGAGGTCGATGGGAGAAACTCCAGATGTGGCTTCACCAGTGCCTAATAGAGGGGAATAATCACTTACCTCAAACTTCTAGGAATACTGCTACTAATGCAGCCCAATATGATATTAGTCTTCTTGGCAATAAGGACACACGATTAATTTATATCCAGCTTCTTATTGTCTGCAATCCCCTGGTCCTTTTCTGCAGAATTGCTGCTTGGCCAGTCAGTCCCCAGTCTGGAGCAGCACATGGGATTCTTCCATCCTGAGTGCAGGACTTTGAACTTGTCCTTGTTAAACCTCATCAGATTTCTTTTGGCCCAGTCTTTCAATTTCTCTAGGTCACTCTAGGAACCTCATCTTTACCCTCCAACATATCTTTGTCTCTCCCACTTCCCATAGTTTGAACTGCAGGCCATGTAGTCATAAAATACAAGCATCTGGTGTGCTGCTGTTATAAAGAAAAGAGTTTAAAGAATATAGTTCTCAAATTGAAGTGAAAAGACTTGATTGTTTGTATTTGTTATGATATGCCAAAAGAAAAATGATTAAACTTAACTGTTTTGGAATGAAATATATATGAATATTCTGAAACTTCATAATGATTTTGTAATTGGAAAGAGATAATTTACATACCCTGATATAGAATGCATTTTTTTTTTCTTTAAGGCAGGACATGGCAAAGATTTTTTTGAACCTCTTTTTGAAGCAAAAAAGGCAGGCCTGAAACTGGCATTGCATCTTTCAGAGGTAAATTCTTAATGTTTGTGCTAACATTTTTCTGCAGCCTCCTTTAAATAAAAATCTACTTTAATTAAAAGTAATGTCTGTAGATTTTCAAGTTGTTAAGCTGAAGTAATGTTGGTTTGTGGCATTTTGAAATCTGGTTGGAAAGGAGAAATGTAAAGTAAACACTCTAATATATATATTTTAAAGGGGGGGGGGAAACCACAATGAACCCACACCCAACCACATAGCCAATTGCCAGGTAACCTTGACTAAATGTCCTCTCTCTTTCTAGGGAACCGCAGAAAGAATTAGAGTAACATACTTTGCCTTTAAATCTACAAGATCCATACATGATTTATTAAATTATGAAAACAAAGAGGACCTCAGTATCATAGAGAAAACCCTGATTCAAGAGTATGAATAAGTCATGCTTATTAAGGGTTATTGGAGGAACTGTTGGCCCTAATTTATTGATATTTCAGATATATAACAATTCACTGAAATTTACACACATATTGACCAATCTTTTGCCTCTCACCTGATGTATACCTGGAACTCACATGAGTAGTTCTGTTGACAGGAGCCGCATGGAAATAGAGAACAGTAGAGTGAGTGCATTCCACCTAGTGTGCTTTGCTTCCCCCGCTGCACAACATCAGGCCCTCCCCATGGTGATCCCCAAAACCATGTCCTCTGGGACAGGGAGCTATAGGACGAGAGGGTGGGGTGATGGCAGGAAGGGCTTGGACTTGGGGACTGGTAATGGACAGCCTCACCTGCCCCAAACCAGAAAGAACGCCTTTCGGTCAGGAAATGATGGCTGAGAGTATTAAGGAATTTTTTGCATAGAACTCTTGTGCAGTGCTCTGAAGACGTACTTCTGAGTGTTTCACCTTCTTTCTATCTCTGGTTGTGTAACGTCTCTGTTCTGCAGTCAGTTTATCCATATATGATTGGAGATAATTATAACCTTCATTCACTATGTGGTTGAGGATTATTTCATTAAAGTTTTTAAAGCTAATTGAGGTGCCCCAATTAAAAGTATTTCAGAAATGCAAATAACTAATGTAATCTGTCCTTTACTCCACTTTCCAATTAGTGCCTTTCCATCTTCCAGTTCAAAATGAAGACCCATTTTCTGCATCTCTTCTTTCTCCAAAGCATAACTAAAACTAATTAGCAGACACACTTGTTTCTCATTTTCCTTGTTTATAAAATATCTGAATACAAAATAAACTAGAACCCGGATTTGATTTGGAGCTGACTTAGGACTTTGATTATTCAACTGCATTATGATGCTGTTAAAGACTCTGTTTTTCTTTTCTTTTTTTTTGGGGGGGGGGTTGTATTCTGTTTAGATACCAAATAAAGAAGAGGAGACCAAAATTCTCCTTGGCCTGCCTCCAGACAGAATTGGACATGGTACATTTCTCAACTCTGTAATAGGTTCAGAGGACCTTGTGCAGCTTGTGAGACAGAAACAAATACCTATAGGTAAGAAAGAAGATTTAAAAAATGCTTGACATTTGATAAAATGTGTCTCGCAAATGACTCAGTAAATTTTAGTTTATTTGCATCGCCCAGAAATAAATATGGAAAGGTATTTGTGATGTGGAAATATATAGCTACTGTGAGAAGATAACTGATGCATATAGTGTACGTCTAATGCTGCTGCTTTTCATCTATCTATCTATCTATCTATCTATCTATCTATCTATCTATCTATCTATCTATCTATCTATCTATCTATCTATCTATCTATCTATCTATCTATCTATCTATCTATCTATCTATCTTTATTAGAGAGTTTGTGTGTCTGTCCGTCCCTCCGTTTCTGAATCCATTTGTTCAAGAGCTCAGTTTAAACCGTTACAGCTAGGACTACCAAATTTGGTATGCAGCTTCCTCTTATCCTAACTTAAAGCAAGGTCGGGTTTGGTTGTGTCAGGAAAACAGGATGTGCCTAGAATCCAATTGTTTTCCATAACACAGAAAGGGAGGGAGCTGAGAGCAGGGACAGCTATGCTCCACAGTGAACACTGGGGCTACTGAGTGTAGGGGACAGTTATATTGCAGAGTGACTGCCAGGAAGAGAATGGTCAGCTAGGGCCAGAGCTCTCCAAATTGCTGACTACTGGCCATGGGTAAGTGGCCCTCCTTACCTCATTGCTTCCCTGCCCACAGCCCTTGGACCAGCACCAGATGAGGGAGGCTTTGCTACCCAGCACTCCCTTGCCCCTTGGGAGTCACAGCCCCCCAGGAGCTGCCAGGGCTGGACTTTGCAACCCCAGTCCCCCGCCACCCAGGAGCTGTTGGGGCCATGCCACCTGGGCCCTTCTTCTCCCCATGAGTGCTGCTGGAGCTGTGCCAACCTGGGCCTCTCCCAAGAGCATGGGTCAGGCCCCTTTCCCCCACAAGCTGCTGGGGCCACACAGACCTTGCCCTCTGAAAGACTGTTGGGGTCAGGACCAGCACTGCAGTCCCAACCACCCCCTGAGGAACTGAGGAGGGTTCTGCCAGTTGCTGTGCTGTTGGGTGGCCCTGGTGAGCCTCCCCAGACCTCCCTGACCTCATTGCCCACCCCGTGCCCTGAAGCCTGCACCCTCCCTCCCCTTCACCCTCGAAATCACCCAATTCCCTCTTCTGAGACCCTCCTCCTTTGCCCTGAACCACCCCCCACTAGGGATGTGAGCAGCTACTTGAGTAGTCGACGCCCAGTAATCTTAGGCTTATCAGAGAGTTGAGTCACTACTCGACTACTTGCTTCCCCCACCTCCTGGCTGCAACAGGTGGGAGGAAGCACAAGCCAGTGTTGAGGGGAGCCGGCTTAAAAGCTGGTTCCCCCCCGTACCATCTCTACAGTGCGGAGGGGGTGGGAAGGGAGGCAGAGCCGCAGTGGTCCTGGAGCCGGCGTAAGCCGGGACTGTTCAGTCCCAGCTCGTGCCGCCCCTGGGAGCAATCACCATTGTAGCTCTGCATTTAAAAATTAACTTTAACTGGCTAACTGACTAAATAGGGTAGGTGGGTGAGGCTGCTTCCCTCCTCCCCACTGCCACAGCTCTCTTCCCCACCCCCCAGCTGCCACTTCCAGCCCGACAGGCAGCGAGCTGCTCCCAGGTAACAGTTAAGGGTGATGCTTATCAGGTAGCCAGTTACCCGTTCACATCCCTCGTTTGAATATATTCTGAGGTGATATATCCAAAATATTGTAAAAGTCATGACTCCCCACACATTTATAAAAAACAGGTAACGTTGAACTATACAGCTCATGTCTGAAATAGATACATTAATTTACACACAGATAATATTTTTTGGTTCTGTACATATCCTTGTTTTTTTTTCTTTTAATTCAGACTTTTTTCCTTTTATCGCTTAGAACTTTGCATGACGTCGAACTTCAAAAGTCAGACTGTACCTTCCTGTGACAAACACCATTTTGGATACTGGTACAACTTGGGCCACCCTACTGTACTTTGTGTAAGACATTTTGATAGAACAAAATACCTTTAGATGCTGACCAAACAGAATATGGAAACTGCAGATAAGTTTCCATAAGATAAATAAGCTCTTAAGAGAAATAGCTCTTGTATAGATAGTATCAGGTCTAACTGGACTGGAAATTTCTCTGAACTCACAAGAAATCCAATGCTCTGTTTAGGGAGAAATATATAGTAAAAATCTAGGAAAATCCTTGTTATTCAACTTCTAATTTTTAATGAAGAAATAAATCCTACTAGATCAAAAGGACATGAAATTTGAGGTCTATATAGGTTTTTATATGAACCAAGGAACATTTTGCTTGAACACCTTAGCCCCTACATTTTTATTTTTAAATTGTAATTCTTTGTCGTTATTTTCATGTAATTTGAAGTACATTTTTTGCTGCATTCAGAGGAACATATAGGACCTTTCTTGTAGGTAATTAGCCCTGATCCATGAGATGCCAAGCATCTCAGCTGCCTTTGCCAGCATCTATAAAAACATCCAAGTTAGAAAGCATCACAATGGTCAGGTTAAATAAGGTAAATGTAGGGACTTCTCATGAACCCACACAAGAGCCCTGGCTTGGTGAGGAGGGACTAACTTAGTCCTTAAATGATCCTAATTTGAACATTTCAACTGGAAACACTTGTGTAATTGTTGTTATTTATTGTGTTATGGTAGCAGCCCAAGGACTGTAATCAAAGTCAAGGTCTCATTGCACTAGACTAGGCACTGTTGTACAGGATGTCACAGACCCTGTCCCAAAGATAAATAATAGAAGAGCAGATGCAGCTAGTAAGTATGTGTGGGTTACATGTGAGACAGGGAAGGGGAAAGGAAAACAGTTGTATGGTCACACATTTACACAAGTTGCACATGTGCATAACTTGATGGTTATGAATCATCAGAATTTCTTTGACATACAAATAGGTGCCAGCAATCCACACAACCCCTCCAATTAGTCATTAGCACTTCTCTTTAGGCATCATAATAGAAGGGTCTTGAGGAGGAAAGGCAGACACAGCTTTATAGATTAGTTTGGAGAGGGTGTTTCATGAGTAGTAGGAGACACAGAATAAAGCACAGAGACACTGGCTGTTTTATAGACCTCATGTTTTTTATAAATGAACTGTTCTTTCATTTAGATTTCTTTGTTCAACATATATTTTTGGCTGAGATATTGATAATAATTTACAATCAGTTTCACCCTACTATATTTCAGTTTACTACAGCTAGTATTTATTTTGATTGTGCTAACTTAACAGAAAGAATAAGTACTAACTACAAGAAACAGTGAAATACAGTAGGGTGAAACTGGTCGTGAATTAATTTTCTGTTTTTCAAAGCTAGACACACTGATTGTTGTTTTTGTTTTTTGTTTTGTTTCCCCCCCTGCCAGACTGACGATAAAGGTGTCTTTGCAACAGACCTGTCTCAGGAGTACCAGCTGGTTGCTAAAACATTTAATCTGACGCAGTCACAGATGTGGGACCTCTCTTATGAATCAATCAACTATATCTTTGCTTCAAATAGTGTAAAATTGAAGCTAAAGGAACAGTGGCATAAACTGAAACCATGTCTGTTAAGTAAATAAACTATAGTTATGGATAGATGAAAATCGAATATACTAGCTCTGTTAATAGAGATGATCTGCCTAAGAAGGTCTGCCTTTGGCCTTTTTAATTTTTGTACAACCATAGGGCCCAGTTGTGCAACCTCTGCTGATATGAATTAAGAGCTACAGGAACAGATCCTTATTTAATCAGAATGACTAGAGCCCAGTGGGGATACAAAACTTGTATCCACATCTGTATCCACAAAAATGAGTCACAGATATCCACATTGATATCTGCAGATGCAGTTACGTGCTGATATAAAGTGGATACCTGCAAATTTGCGGGGTTCTAAATAACAAAACTTTAATTTGCATCTATATCTGCAAAAAAATGAGCCATGGATTCACAGATGTGGATAATCGTGGATATAAAGTGGATATCCACAGATTTGTAGGATTCTAAGGATGAGAGGATATTTGAAGGATATCCACAGTCCGTAGAGAAAAAGTCTGAGTAAAATTCCAGATTTTTCATGTACTAAATATCTTATTCACTGGAGAGAAAGTAGGGGTGTTAGTGACTTTGCTCAAATGTGTTAAAATATTGCAACAATCATAGTAAAATAAAGATGAGTAAGAAAAGATCGCCATAAATATATAGCAATAATATGCTAAACAGTATGTATATGTGTTTCTGTATCAACCTTAAGTAGGCTCATTGAGCAGAAAGATATGGACAATCTCAGGGAGGAGAAAAGCCTTGTCAATAAGAACTTTGCACTCAGTTAAAAGTAATGCTAGAACAGTTTCTGCTAAGATGTCTGACCAAGGACTTCTGTAGGTAGTTTAATGAATACAATATGCTATCAACACACTCAGTATTAAGTGACTTATGTTGTCTCTATTACACTGGCAAGCAGAAAAAAAATCTAAAAAGAATCTCAACTGAGACGTGTATAGGATATTGTTTTTATAATGCTTTATTATAATTTAAAGTTTATTTCTTTCAATTTTTCTTAAGAAACAAAAAATAGTTTACTTGATTTTGTGTTTTTAAAACCACTGCTTTTGCTTAGGATCGGTAGATTTGAAGCATGTATATTCTACAGTAAATTATGTTACATTGTATCATTTAGGGATGCTTTCCTTCTTTTTAGTGATACAAGTTAGAGAAATGGTCAGAGGTAAACAGGATGAGGTTTAATAAAGAGAAATGCAAAGTGCTCCACTTAGGAAGGAACAATCAGTTCCATACATACAAGATGGGAAGCGACTGTCTAGGAAGGAGCATGGCGGAAAGAGATCTAGGGGTCATAGTGGACCACAAGTTGAATATGAGTCACCAGTGTGATGCTGTTGCAAAAAAAGCAAATATGATTCTAGGTTGTATCAACAGGTGTGTTGTAAGCAAAACTCGTGAAGTCATTCTGCCGCTCTACTCTGCACTAGTTAGGCCTCAGCTGGAGTACTGTGTCCAGTTCTGGGCGCCACATTTCAAGAAAGATGTGGAGAAATTGGAAAGGGTACAGAGAAGAGCGACAAGAATGATGAAAGGTTTAGAGAACATGACCTATGAAGCCAGGCTTCATGAACTGGGCTTGTTTAGTTTGGAAAAAAGAAGATTAAGGGGGGACATGATAGCGGTTTTCAAATATCTAAAAGGGTGTCACAAGGAGGAAGGAGAAAATTTGTTCCTCTTGGTTTCTGAGGACAGGACAAGGAGTAATGGGCTTAAAGTGCAGCAGGGGAGATTTAGATTGGACATTAGGAAAAAATTCCTAACTGTCAGGGTGGTCAAATATTGGAATAAATTGCCAAGGGAGGTGGTGGAATCTCCCTCTCTGGAGATATTTAAGAACAGGTTAGATAGACATCTGTCAGGGATGGTGTAGACGGAGCTTGGTCCTGCCTTGAGGGCGGGAGGCTGGACTCGATGACCTCTCGAGGTCCCTTCCAGTCCTATGATTCTATGATTCTATGAATGTCTGTTTTGACACTGCAGGGAGTGCTTTAGTTCTGGGACTGAGATATGGATTTTGACAATGTTATTAATTTATAGGTTGATAGATCTGACACTCAGAATTACTGACAAAACAATCTTGCCATATGTTGCCCTTATGAATTTTAAGAGACCATGTTTTGCAAGCAATTCAAGTAATTGTACTAGGAATTGGGATTTAATTTCATAGGATAGGAAAGAGATGCCGTTGTGTAGAACTTTGGCCCTATTACAGTGAAAGCTTTGTTATCCGGCACTTTGTTAACTGACATCACTGCCGGTTGACATCATCAAGAAGTACTTCCTTCCCCTCACCGGGCCTCAGTCTGTTTAACCCTTTGCGTGAGTGTCCAGCACATAGTTAACCAGCATTCCCCATGAGTGCCAGATAACAAAGCTTTCACCTTACTTTAGGAAAGCCCTTTGCTGTCTGAGTTCAGGGGCCCAGACTACTAAGGGACTAAGACAGACTGCATTTTTTGCAGTGCTATTGAAAGTAGACCCTAATGAATGCTCTGAAGATATAAAGGCAATCTATTTGAATGAGCCTCTGGCTGTGCTTTCTTTTTGTTGATTTATGAGAATTGTCACAGGTAATAATTTTTTCTACCTTGTGACAGACACCCGTAACAAGATTAGGAATGTGGATTATGTTGTTGCCCTCATTGAGTAATTGTAACTTCTGCTCTACCTGGTCCAGCCAGGGTCTCAGACAATTGGTACCTTAAAAATCTTCCTCAAGGGGGAAGTCTTGCAACAGCTATCAGGATGGCTAATGTTTCAAATATTTGTGATATGTTCAAACTCCACAAGTCTAGTAAAAGACTTCCCATCTTTGGTCCCTAAACGTCAGGGCAACTTGATGTTGTGGCTGAGCCATTTGGAAAAAGGATTTACGGTGATAAAATTTGGAGATAGAGTTAAAATGTTTATGTGGCTGTGTCAGGGCTGTTCCCCGCTCTGGCACTCTGAGTGCAGAAGATGGGGGCCCACAAGAGACCTTACATACCTTGCCTCTATAGGTTCTGCTTACAAAAACTCCCTTGAGTTACAGATTCACTGACTTTCAGAGATAGCTGCCACAGCCAAGTAGAACAAAAGAAACCCCTTTCTTCTTGAACCCAGGAAGAAAGCACGTGGACTTCCTTCCCCAGGAGTACCCCATGCTCCTCTGCCACAAGAGAGCTTGGAAAAAGAAACAAAAGGAAACAAAACTGTATCTCTGATAGCTGACCTCTCAAGCTAAGCAGACATACACACAGCGACCTCCTGTTTCTTTCCAGGACATAAGAATCAAATCATCACCTTTAAAAAAGGTGATTGTATTAACAAAACAAAAAGATAAACTTGATAAAGCATACTTGGTAGTTAGGTGTTACAGAGCAACCAAGTAAAACAAATTAAAACACAGAGAACATCTCTGAGCATGCTCTTAAGATTGTGAATGGAGGAGGGAAGGCATAGAGTCACACAAATAAATTTAACCAAACAACCAAAATAAAGAAAAATGCCCTGATTGCAACTAAATACATATCTTCTCTTTCTTTACTCATGATCCATTCCTAGTTCAGTCCACTTCCATGTCCCGAATTCCTTGGAGGCGTGGTAGTCCTGTCTGGGTTTAAATCATGCTGTTTTCCAACTCCTGGCTTAACTAAAAAAACCAGGCAAGGTATCTTATACAATTCAGATTTCAGTACTGTATCCAATTGATTCTTCTTACTCTGCAACCCCCCCTCCCCCCCCCAGCTAACTGAGTTTAATCCTTTAGTCACTGGCCAGCACTCCTCCTATCCATCACAGGCAGGATAAGCTTTCTCATCTGTCATTAAGAATGAAGCCTCTGGCTTTTGCTAAATAATGAGTGGCCTGGTAGAGGGATAGTTATTTTCTGCTGAGAAGACTCACCTCTCATGTGCTAAGAACTCTGTCCAGACAATGAGTAATGTGACCACCTAATAGCAGCTGAATGTAGGAAACAGCCACAGCTTTGTAACATCTGCTCTGTAGGGAAGGCGCTGTCCAGGCTGAGCTCTCCAGTTCTTTTCTGTGTCCCAGCAGAAGATCACTCTGACTTCTGAACTAGGGATTAGGGATGCGATCAAGTAACTGATTCCCCAGTATCACCTTCACTGGGTGATGCTTATTGGATAATTGGTTAACTGGTGCCCAAAAGCAACCCCCCGCATGTGGTCTGCTGCGGGTGGAGGGCTGTTCCATCCCCACGTGGGGCTGGGTGCTGCTCCAGCCGGGGTGGGGCAGTCCCCCCGCCCGGGATCCTGCTTAATGGGTTAAACCTAAAATTTAACCAGTTAACTGATGAAATGGGATTTAACATCCTTACTAGGGATTAAGTTGTATATTGTGATACACTTCCAGGTAGCTGCTGCTTATATATATGTGGGGAAGAACAAGACCCATACGTTGCATTTTGCTCCCACATCCCCCAGTCCTGAGGCCAAGGAAAGAACACTCTAGGCTAGGGTGAGGAGCTCTGGTACTTGTGTTTTTAGTGAATACCCTATCAACCATTCAGGTTTAGGATCCGCTGTGCCCCAGACAAAATGTACAAGTAATCTATGGAAATTGCTGTGTGATCACTGGCAGACCAGCCAGAATATGACTTTACAATAGTTATAAACACCAGAGTTGTGAACTGACCTATAAAGGCTCACACCTCATTTGAAACCAGAAGTATGTAACAAAAACGAAGAAAAAGAAAAAGTGCATTTTCCTTCTGCGTAGAACTGTTTCAAAGCTGTATTAAGTCAAGGTTCAGTTGTAAACTTTTGAAAGAAACAATGTTTTGTTCAGAGTTACAAACATTTCTAAGTTATGAACAACCTCCATTCCTGAGGCTTCACTGAGGTTCTACTGAATATTAAAACTGCTGATGGGAGATGGGATGCTCTTGAGAAAAGAACAAGGGTCAGGAGTGGAGATATCATGAGGGTAAATGGAGATTGTTAGGCTATGTTGGTTCATTCAACATTTTGAACATGCACAGTGGTACGTAAACATTATGTTTTGTGAATATAAATACATACTTGTGTCCATGCGAAACACTGTGAGGGTCAGAAGCTAGCCGTTCACTTTGGCTACGTCTAGACTGGCATGATTTTCCGCAAATGCTTTTAACAGAAAAGTTTTCCGTTCAAAGCATTTGCGGAACAGAGCATCTAGATTGCAGGACGCTTTTCCGCAAAAGCACTTTTTGCAAAAAAGCGTCCGTGCCAATCTAGACGCGCTTTTCCACAAAAAAAGCCCCGATTGCCATTTTCGCGATTGGGGCTTTTTTTCACAAAACAAATCTGAGCTGTCTACACTGGCCCTTTTGCGCAAAAGGACTTTTGCCCGAACAGGAGCAGCATAGTATTTCAGACAGTAGGAAGTCAGTGCTCTTGCGGAAATTCAAGCAGCCAGTGTAGACAGCTGGCAAGTTTTTCCGCAAAAGCAAGTGCTTTTGCGGAAAAACTTGCTAGTCTAGATGCAGCCTTTCTGTGTAGCAAAGTCTTTTTAACCCTTCTGAAGAGGGTATGATTCCATGGGACTCCTCAGGCAGTATTCAATGTATTTTTCTTTCCATCGCCCATTCCTTTTTGTGCCGTGGTTGAGGCGCAAACTGCCTAATTTCTCCTTTAGCTGGAGCCCTCTTATTGGCTTTTAAAATATAAATTAGCTTTGTTTCCGAATTTAAAACATATCCCAATTGTAGTAACAGGTAAACGAAATTTTTTTTGTTTTGCTTTTCCACTGAAAATAAATAAAATAGACTTGAATAACAATCTGTCTGCCTTTTTATTTTTAAAGCAAAGCTAAAGTAATCATGCATGAATTGTCATGTTGGTTTTAGTTTGTGTTTAAGGCCCTGATCCTACAACTTGTTCCACACATGGGTTGATGCTCGCTTCCCTGTGGATATTCATTGAAGTCAATGGATGGCCATGTATATGCAGGGGTCTGACCATGAAGAACCAATTTCAGGATCAGGACTTCAGTGTATTATTACAGTTATACACACATTCCTGTAATACTGAATAGTTCCTGCCATGAGGATGTCTGAGTATTAGTGATTGTATACTTCTTCCATATCTAGATCCAAACCATTTATACTAAACTTGGGAACATGGGATCTGCAAGTACATAAAATTCAAATCCGATGTAGGTTGACATTAAATATGGATGATGGTTTATATTGGGGGAGGGCAGACGGAACCCACCCTACTAAAGCAGTAAGAAAAGAGATGGATTTCACTATAGTCTACTCACTACTCATTCATGGCTCTGTCCTCTTTCCACTGAAGTAGGTAATAAATCTCCCGTTGATTTTAATGGTGCAAACACTGTGGTGGTATCCTGGGACCACGCATTGTAAAAGAGAATATTCTTGGAAGCACATCTTGTTTTGAAAATGGGTTAAAGTCCCCTTGCTTATCATTAGTAGTACAATAATATTGTGATCTTGTCTAAGTGCATTAGGTTGTTTTTTTTTTGGAAAGCATCACATTTTTTTGTCATATTTTCTTTTCTCCTCACTCGTACTTGGCCATTTCCAGTAATGACACATAGTACTGTGCAGTGGGTTGGAGTGGCCACCCACTGACCCTGAGGAGGAAGTGCCCCTCCCTGAGCCAGGTTGGGCTCACCTGGAGGACTCACCTGGGAGGAAGTCAGGGGATGGGCCCAGGGATAGAAAAGGACTTCCTGCAAGGCCAGTTTGGGCCCTGCCAGAGACAGACACACAGGCACTCTCCCCAGCCAGCAAGGGAGCCAGAGGCCTCTGCTTCCCTGACCACTGAGGAGCCAAAAGCCTCCCCGCCCTGGCCGGCGGAGGAGTTGGACAACTGGCCTGGGCCTCCCAGTGCTCTTTGGGAGGATTACCACGTGGGCCTGCTGTTGTGGCCAGAGGACCCCACCCTGGGCCACCTGGAAGACTTCCCAGGGAACCAGGTACCCGGGATGGAGGGGAGAATTGGAGCCAGCCCAGGGGTGGGTGACCTTGGTCTGTCCGGGGGCCAATGGGTTGTGGAGTGGATCCCCCACTGACCCCGGTGCAACAGGTCAGTGAGTTTTGGCCTGGATCCCGGCTGACCTGGCAGCTGATTACCAGCTACTATTAGGACCCTGGCCAGGGTGCGGTGGTGAAGGAAGGACCCGTGCCCACCCTGCTACACCTTGATTGGGTGGCAGTCTCCCCTCCGGCGGCATGCAGCCACAGGCTAAGGCAGGGGTGTCCAAACTTTTTTCAAAGAGGGCCAGATTTGAAGAAGTGAACATGTGTGAGAGCCGTCCCCGCACTCTCAGCCCCAAGGCGGAGGGCCCGCAGGGTCGGAGGCGGGCGGAGAGCGCAGGGCACGCCGGCCTCACGGCGGCCTGGGGGCAGGGCGAACCCACAGCCGAGCGGGGGAGTGGGGCTGCGGACGTGCCCTACAGGGCATGCTCTAGGACCGCGGAGGCCATGGGCAGCGGCGGGGCGGGCGGGAGGGGAGCCAGGAGAGGGGGAGGAAGCGGGGGCCGTATTAAATCGGAACATGGGCCGCAATTGGCCCGCGGGCCGGACTTTGGACATGCCTGGGCTAAGGGCCTGAACCTTTCCTGAGTAAGGGGACAGACTACGAACCTGGGTACTGACTGTGACCTGGTTGGTTTGTCCTGGGAGAAGCCCTTCCCTTGCCCTAGGGCAGGGCTATTGACTGTTAACTCTTGCAGCCCTGCCTTGTGTAGGGCTGGGCTACTGATTGTTTGCTTAGACTGCTTGACTGCTGCAGCCCCTGCCCGGGATTAGAGCTGAGCTACTGACTGCTTAGGAGCTTGTAGTGGGTTGGAGTGGCCACCCACTGACCCTGAGGGGAGCCCCCTTCATTCTCCGGGGAGCACCCCAACGGATTACATACTAGTATCTACTGTTATTTACTTATACACAGGGCTTGACAAATCGCTGTTTCTACTTGCCCATGGCGAGTAGATTTCAGCCGGTTGCCCCGTTCACCGGCTGCACGTGCATGCGCAATGCGGGTCTTGTGCAGTTGCAGTGTGGGGCTAGCGAATTGATTTCGCCACCGTTTGTCAAGCCCTGCTTATACATAATAAGTATATAATGGCTATACTGACACTTTACAAAGATGTGTATATTCGCAGAGCTCTAAGGGGAGATGACAAGTCCAGAGCTCCTCTATTTCAATGGGAGTCCATTTTAAGCAAGGACTTCAATATTTGATGCCCCATTTAGAAATACCCAAATTCTTTGGAAATACATTTTAAAAATACTCCTTTTATATTAGTCTCAACAAAAAATACAAATCTTTTAAAAAGTTAAGGATTTAAGCCTCAGTCTACTAAAATTTGAACTCCCAGTTACTGTGTCACTTATCGCTCCTCTAGTGTCTTGCTCTACTAGGCAGTAAGGAAGTCTTGTTCCTCTGTTCGATATTTACGTGGAATGACAGGGAGTTCTATGCATACATGTGTAAAGTAAGTAGAAGGCTCAAGTGTCTACACAGACTGTAAAAGCGATGAGGAGTCCTGTGGCACTTTATAAACTAACAGATTTATTGGAGCATAAGCTTTTTGGGCAAAGACCCACTTTGTCAGATGCATGTAGTGGAAATACCAGGGGCGGGTATAAATATACAGGCATACTGTATATTGGTACTCTTTTCTTATGCCTGTATATTTATACCCACCCCGGTATTTCCCTAGGACTCCTTGTCACTTTTGCAGATCCAGACTCACACGGCTACCTCTCTAATACACAGACTGTGATACCAGGAGCAGGGCTTTTGTTATGGTCATCCAAAACACATGCAAGATACTGTGCTGACAGGAGAAATAGCTGTTAAATATCTATTCTATCATGCATATGAACTGCCATGTCTTTTAAGAGTATGATGGATAAACAGATGCAGTTTGACTAGCATCCTGACTGTTCAGTCATCCAGAGTGATTACCCTGTAGTATTTGGACCTCAGTTCTGAATACAGGCAGTCCCCGACTTACGTGGATCTGACTTATGTCGGATCCCTACATACGAACGGGGTTTTTCTCGCCGCGAGGATGCAGACGGCGGGACTGCCCAGATGCACCGCTATCCCGCCGCCCGCGTCCTCCGCGGCGAGAAAAGCTGCTCCGCGTCTCCCTGGTCTCCTGAGGGAGCTTTTTCAAAGGCAGCATTGGCAAGCCGTCACTTTTTTTCATTTTAATTTTATGTTTATTTTTTTTAAATCAAGAAAGGGTGTGCGTGCTTGGAAGAGCAGAGGCAGAAGCAGAAAGACTGCGGGCAAGCAGTCTGCGGGGCGTTGGCCTTGCCAGCGAGCTGTTGACGAGCCCCATTCACACCTGCTGC